CCAGAGACTCCAATACTTCCTAAATAAGCTTAAGACGTGTTTCCTGTCCTATGTTTAAGAGTTAATATCTGAAATAAGCATGGTCCGTTTGCATCTTAATTAAGAGAAAAATATTGCTTAATTAAGCTGTATAAAAAATATATAAATGTATGTAAAAATGTGAAAAACAGCTATAAATGGTTCAAAAAAACGAAACAATTCTATAAACGAAACGTATAACCTATATTGCGTATAAAAAATCTCTTGAAAACGATCGTCCATGTCAAGCATATCTCCATATCCCAGGTCAGGCCCGATCGATCTCATTTTTCACTCGTCGAGTCGCGGCAGCTGGTTGCCAGCCAGAAATCGTTTCAGCACTGCATTCGACACGGCCTTCATCGAAAACTGGCCGCCACGCCGCCTGGCCAATAAGGCCAGGCTGTGGCCGAAGCTCTCATCTCGATACGTCCAGTGCTTCGAAGGATTCACTTGTTCCAGTGCCAGTTCCATGAGTAGATGGGCCTTTGGTTTGATTCGAAACAGTTTAAGGTCTTCAAAATGCGACTCCAGGCCACGCATGAGGAGAAGGAACTCCCGACTGGCCTGCTGAAAGCGATCTGCGAGCCAGTGATGCTCGCTCAAGCAGCTATACATGCTATTCAACCGATGGCATGCATGGATCATCGTGTTTTGCGCAGGCACAGATGCATCCAGAAACTTCTCCGCAAGTTGTACTGCACACGGCACTAAGACTCGTGCCTCTCCAGCCTTGGCACGAAGTTTCGGTGATTTCAATTTGCCCCGCAACTCAGCCCGAAGCATCGTTGGTACGAGCTTGGGTAAGCGATTCTCAGAGTTGTTGGCTTTGTAAAAGGCATCGATCTCACGGAAAATTGTAACACACTTGTCCCGGCGAGAATTGCCGGACACAACGAACTCCATGATGAAGTACAGTAAGCTCCCCAGAAAATCGCTGGTGGTTCCCAGATCGCACACATGTAAAAAGTCGATCTTGCAGTTCTGCGGGCCGAAGAGTGGGATACTAAAGATAGCTGATATCATTTTCCCTTCTGCTCGCTGTCGGACCAGAAACTCCATTGAAGTCAAGGCTGCACTCCTGCATGCAGGGTCATATTAATCGTGTCTGCGCACATTTTTTAGGGGGCATGTTTTGGGATTGTGGCCTACAGCTTCAAAAGCATTTAACACCGGCACCGGCAGCTGAAGTGAGCTTCGGAAGTAAAATCTTTCATCTGGGCCCTCGTGATGTTGCATCTCCAGCAGATAAAGCCGGCCGCAGCCCATGAGGGGAAGTCTAGTGTGTCTTTATACATCGCCCAGTCGCCCCGCAGCTCTCCCAGGATCATAACAGGGATTGTTCGCCCTTGAACTTTACGTCTGTACCGGTCTGAAGGTAAAAACGCCGAGCCATCGTGTCTGGTCGCAGGGTTCACACCGCACAATGCTGCACGGAACGACCATGCCATTACTCGCCAAATCTCCTCATAAGTCGCCTGAGATTTCAAAAATGCCTTCGGAAAGGCAGCGATTGGAAACCTGAGCGAACCCTCGCCGACCAGGCTCAATGTCACGGTTTCAAGCGATTGCGAGCGGTCCGAATTAAACGGCACGGAATCTACCCATATACCGGCAATGACAGTATTGGAAGGGTCTACATCAAGAAGTTGAGCAGCTCTTGCCAAGTGATCCTGCAAGTCTGGTCGGTGAGCCAATGCCGCTTGCTGATTTGTCATCAGTTGTTCCATCTTGTTAACCTTAAGCAGAGTACTCAACAGCTCATGGGGAAGAAGAACGCTCAAGGTCATAAGCTGTGTTGCATCCGTCGCATGGTTCAAAGCAGGTACTTGCAGCTCATACGTATCCGGCCACTTGGTGTTCCGAAAGCACTTCCGGATGAGGTCTCGGGCAGAATTTTTGCCAATAGGCACAGTGGCCAAGTCAGCAACGTTTTCTGTCCCGGCAAGACTTGCGTTCTGCAAGAGCCTTGCTGCCCGCTGTCCAGAA